ACGACCACTACTACTCCTCCTCCTCCTCCTCCTACTCCTACTTCTGCTCCTGCCCTGCTTCTTCTCCTTCTCGTACTCCTACTCCTGCTCCTAATCGTACTACTCCTGCTGCTGCTACTGCTACTGCTACTATTATTATTACTACCACTACTACTACTACGACGACGACGACTACTTTTTGCTACGATGAAGATTACGACTGCTGCTACGACGGCGCTTCCAGAGACTGCACATTCATCAACAACAATCGGTGCGGGCTCTCTCTTCTGTGGTTAGTTCTGACGGTATGAGCGATACTTAGGCGACGAGCTCCTCTTCAAAAGTGGGAAATTGGGCGAAGAGCCAAAACCTCATTCTATCCAGCACATGAATCCTAGCCCATCAGTGAGTGTAGGGTGTTGGGGGTGAGGATTTACGGTAATCCTATTGAACTCCTAATGCCCAACCTATGCGAGATCTGCGGTGGGAAATGCGGCATTCTCGCCAACTAAAAATGTATTACTCTCAGCTGGTTCAAAAACTGCCTCTGACAGGAAACTCATTGAAAACTGCTGTTGAAGCCTTCAATCAAAGTGAGCCTTCAATCAAAGTCGCTCTCCACAGGGTGACAGGTTTGGGGCTCAAGGCTGATGGCTTGTCGTCGCCGAGCCGCTAAAGTCGGCGCTCATTTGGTCAGAGCCGAGGCAAGCCCGGCCCCAGGTTTTGGCAACCCTAGCGATCCTTGGACTGAAAAATCCTGGTTGGCGACTGGCTACCCAAGCTACGTGCGATTACCTGTGGTAGAAGACATAAGGCTGCCTCCGCAGCGGACTGACCGTGATCTTGAGCTGTGAGCTGCATGAATATCACGTGGTCTTACACCGTAAATCGGGTAAATTGGAGGCTGCAGGTTCGGCATGGAAAGCGCTACAGCTGCAAGGTGGGATTTCGCGGGGATGATCTAGAGTCTAGACCCCCGAACCTTTGCCGTCACCTCAAACTGAAACTCTTAGGTGGCCTGCAGTTCCCGTTTGCGGCTACTCGCCGTCTGCTTGAGCCACCGAAGCATCGGAGAGGCGAATGGGACTCTGAACAGAGGTTGCTGTCTTGAATGCTGGCAAGTTCAAGCCACCCATTTGCAACGTGCAAAAACCCAAGCGAAGCGTCAAAATGCTGAGATGTCCTATGATGCGACCCAAGTTCTGTCCACACTGGGCACGACTGTCACTGTCGTCATGGCACATCCCGCAGCAAACTCCCAACTTGACACAACTTGCGACGTGGCGGTGGCCCCTTCATCTCCCTCCCACCCCTCCATGCGAAACCAAAACGAACACAGGCTGGGTCTTCCTGGAGCCTCAGAACCCTGTCCTCACTGAGCACCACATTGCCAAGCTCTTGCCGTGTATCCTCGCGGGATCTCTCGGGATGCACTTGGCGCTGCTCCAAGCAACAAGATATCTTTGAAACCGTCGGGCTCTCCGACCTGCCCAAGCCTTGTTTCTCTGACGGCCTGCCCTGGTTCTCACGTCGAGGCTTCATCCCCACGCAAGCAAGTTTCCGAATCTAAGTTCGAGTTGCCATCTCCGCCCTTTTCTAAGCCCTGCCTTTCGATGAAAGCGTCTTGAAAATCTCAGATCCGAGTTTAGCCCACCTCTGGAAAGCCGTCGACCACGTCTCCCGGCTTTAAGGCCTTGGGAGCGGCTGGACGAAAGCGTCTTGAGATTGTCTTGAGCTTATATAGGATTTCAAGGCTGCGTGGCTGCGTGGTTCAACTTGGCACACCTCGGCTTCAGTCGCCCACCTCGATCAAGTCCGAGGGCATTCCAACGAACCTTGAGGCTGCTTCAGGCTGTCGACGGCAACACGGCATCACTTCCTAGGCACCAACTGCATATGCCGGATGTGCCCTGGCACCCGATGGAACTACAGTAGCAGGGAGAAAACAGCCTGGCCCCATCCCGTGGAAGATTCAAGACCAGGTGCCCCTGCATACAGGGCGCATACTACGTATACCAAATCCCCCCAAAAATATGGACACAGTAGTGTGTCACGGCTACTACGTACCCCAAGACGTCAGAGCCGAGGCCTGACATGCATCGGCCCCCGTTAGTAGATCAGCAGATCTAGAAGTAGTCTGCTAATTCCAAGAAGATGGCCGGAAGATGGCAATCCCTCGTCAGGCAGCCCCTGGATTGCGATAGCCGAGGGACGTTAAGATCTCTGGGGGCGTCATGTCGGGGTCGTTGGGGCCCCTGTCCTTGGCTCCGCCAGAGGTCCGCAGGAAGGGCTTTCCGGGCAACCAACTCCAGGGTCACCGCAAGCCGGTTGCTGATAGAGAATCTAAGGGTCAAGAGGGTCAGGAATTGAGGGTTGCGGGTTCCAACTTTTCTGGCGTTTACACTCGGACCCTCCAAGAGAGGCAGCTTCTGTACATCCAAGTCGGATGAGGCGTAGGTGAATGCACAGCAGCTGCCGAAGGTATAAGGAAACCACGACCAGACGCGCTCTCTCAGCTCAGGTCTGATCGAGGCTTCGTGATTGCTCCTGGCTGCTCAGGCTGTCAGGCTGCAGAAGGGAACCTACCATCTCACCTCTGTCGCTTTGCAACAGCCAGAGCCTGTAACTGTACAGAGAATAACCTGGCTCAGGTCACAAAAATCCCCTACGGCTGTACAGCAGGTGCAGGTTGAAGAACTACTCAGACACGAGACACTGTACAGGTGTCGTGCTGTTGATTCCAACTAACATCTGCGCATCATGGCTTTTTAACCGGACGAGTTCAGCTCAGCTGGGTCTAGCAATCTAGCAAGCAGGTACAAAGTCTTTGCAGCAGAAGTGTCTCAGAGGCGACATCGTCCGGGGTCGTTGGAAAGAATTCTCATACCCGTCGAGGTCCGCAGAGTCGTCGACCTCGACGAAGGTTTTGCGTATCACTGTTTTTGCCTCTTTTGAGTCGCGCAGTCGCTGCTGCAAATCGTCGAGACTGTGGTCATCTCTAAACCGGGGGGCCAAGGATTCAATCAAACTCGGAGCCGTCCGGCCACCGCGCGAGCGGCGATAGGCCGCCTTCTGCAGAGCGTAGGCACGGTGAAAGCGCGGGCGCACTCGGTCCCAATCTTCCCGTGCAATGGCGCACTGGTACGGCAGCAGCTCCTGCCCATCCACGGACTGATAGAAGGTGGCTTGCTCACCAATCCTCTGCAGGAACAATGTGAGATACTCCGAGAGCAGAAAGCTGCCACTACGGACCATTCGAGGGTCATAGCGGGCCCAAGACGTGAGCCCATCTCGCTGACCGGCATCAATCGTAACGTCCACTTCTCCAGCAGGTCCCGCCGGAATCAGAGGTCGACCCCGGCGCCAGCTTTGGATGGTCAGAATGGCATAGCACTGCATGTCCCTCTTACGCATCTCAGCAACAGCAGGTCGGTTCACGAACCACTGCGTGCACTCCCTCGCCGACTGGAGCAGGCTCTCGAAGTGCACGGAGGCCCACATTGGCACTGAGAGCACCCGCAACACCCAGTCAAGTGCAAAGGTGCCGGGACCCTGTGGCCTGCCCACAACGAGAACCTCCAACTGTTCTGCCAAGCATTTCACCAGCAAGGCGCTGTCGCCGCGACAGGGGTAGTTCCTCCGAACCATCCAGCACACGTCACCAGGCATCTCCGTGCTGGGAATCCTCTTGCTGAGCAGAAGGAAGAAGACGGCACACTGGCGATGAAACCTCCACGACGAGCGCCTGCGCACCACGGCATGGCCTGGCGCCAAATGCTGCACCACCTCGGACATCTCCTCGTCGAGCCCTTGATAAGTGCACTTTGCCCACACACGCGTCTCCGGTCGCACGAAGAGGTACGCGGTGTCTGCCGGCGGGCTGTGGACTTCGATGTCCTTCAACGAGAACCTGACGAGATGTCCACCCCACGGGCAGTTTTGGTGCAATAACCTGCCGGCAGAACTGTCACACACAATCTGCCAACCCTCATTGTCGAGCAAAGTTGGGACGAAGTGGAACCAGTCCTCGACACTTTCTGGAAGGACTTCCATGTCGCTCTTTGCTGCTTGCTCTGTCGCGCTATAACTTGAATAACTCGAGCCTGAACGTGTTTGCCAGGTTTTGCGCTTCTCGGGTCGCGGGGTACAGGGCTGGTGTACAGGATGGATGAGTTCGGATACTTTCAGCTTTCGGGGCTCTTGCAGTTAATGGGAGCTGAAGGCTCCGACGGGGTTGTACATGTTTTTGACCGTTTGCCCAAGGTTCCCCCGGCATTCAACAAACTTCTCGATGTGTTTCTTTTGGATGTAGCAATCGTGAGACGTGACTCGAATTCTGAGCTTGTGGCTTGGAAGCCAACAGTTTGCCGTTGTCGGCCGTGTTTGCAACCCGGCAAACGAACGCCCGACCTCCGCCATTCCCAAACCCTCCCCAGAATCGGGGGACCCAGCTGGATCCACTTCCTGGCGAGCACAGCCAAGTTTTGCATCAATGGGTTGTTCATAGCGACCGCGAGTTACCTAGCTGCACAATGCTTCGAAGGAGACATACGGGAGTTTCCGAAAACTAGGGTACCTTATTCTGGGGTCCTTGTAATAAGGATCCTATTAGTTAGGGTACTATATTAGGGTCCCCTATTTTCGGAAACCCCCATGCCAGGAAACTCTGCCGGCAACCCGGAACCCGGGTGCCTCGACGTCGCCGCCGCCCCATGCGCCGTAGTCCAGCGCCTTCGCGATGCCATCGGAGAGGGGGCCTCCAAGATGGGTTTAGGGTTTAAGGTTTTAAGGTTTAGAGTTTAGGGTTTAGGGTAATTTTTATCACCTCTTTTCCTTCGCCTGGGGGGTCTGGAATACCATGTTGGTTGAGGCATTGGACCCGGAGCTCAGCAACTAGGGTTTAGGGTTTAGGGTTTAGATCATTGGTGGCTCTCATATCACTCGGCACTGAGTCCAGGGGTATAGTCGATGCAGTTTGGCTCGAGGGTCAGGGGTTCTGACAGCTGCTGCGGAACTTGTCTTCCACACCACTTCGGCTGCCAGGTTCGTCCATGCTTCGCTGGTCCCACACTGTATGCCACGGCCTCATAATTCAAAGCGACCGCCTCGCGGGTTTCTTACAATCCAAGCCTCTGGCATACCTCTTCAACACCTGTAAGTCCGAGCAGATCGCTGGCACGAGGCTCCCAGAGATTCGGGCTGCCCAGCTGAAAGAACACCAGAAAGAGACAGCAAAAAACCCGAAGGATGCTTTTGCTAATTCGGCAGTCGCAGGCCTCTGCCTTCACGGTTTCTGGGCCCGGGTCCCAGTGTCGCGCTGCTTCTAGCTACCCTGAACTGCGCGTCTGCCACTCCCACTGCTCCCGCCTGTCCACTTGCCTGTCTGCATGTACCGAGCCTTCCCAGGCTCTCAACACATGTGAGGGTTTGGGCTGCAGAGCAAGACATTTTCACCAAAAAGCGACGACAGCACTGGAAAACGTGACGGCTCTCTGAGGGTTCACCTTCGCATAGGAGTGGCAGATGTCCTGCTAAGCTCAGCACTTGCGCATGCACAGTCCGTCCCCAAAGCTCCATGAGTAAGAACATGAGTTCGTGAGCTGGAGAATCTGCAAGTAGGGAAACAATCCATTCGCGCTCTACACTTGTAAAATGCAATCTGCACCCAAATCCAGAAATTTCATAGGAGAACACATCACCCAATGTGAAAATTGGAATCCGAACAGCCTACATCCGAAAATCTCCGACAGACAAAGCACGGGGTGCCTGCTTTCTGGCCGGAACCCACCCTTTTGTCGTTGTTCATCGCCGTGTTTCGCTTGTTCTTCGCTTGCTTCTAGTTGCGTTCTGTATTGCTTGGCCCCGACCGTTTCAATCGCATTTCTTCGAAAACTCCTTCGCTCTGGCGCTTTTGGCTTCTCGCTTGCTTTTGGGATTTTTGCCTTCCTTCCACTTCTCAGATGGGAGCATAAATATGCGGACACGAAGCATCCATATCCAAAGCAACACCTGGCTCACACCGAGCTTTCCTATCCGACTTCGATGCGTCCTCTGCATCCAGCAGCAGTCTGAGACGGGGTCTTCCGCAGTAACCCAGCTCTGGCTCAAAATCCGGCCTGCTTGGGCTATCTGGGACGAAAGAAATGTCGGAAATCTCAGGAGCAAGTCTCGGGGCTTCTGAGCTCTTTCCCAAGATCCACATTGGGACAGCACACAGGAACGTGCTCTGCAAAAGTGCCGCGATGGGACGCCTGCGCCTGACATTTGCATCCGAGCCTTCCTCCGGGCTCTGAACTTGCCCCAGACTTGCCCAGCAACCCCACTGGGCCCGTGGCCCTTCCATGCGTGGGTCGAAGAGCCGGGCGAGCTCATCCGTCCAGCCCGGGCCGGTTACGTTGGCCTGGCCCAGGAGCTCTAAAACTCCTTGACAATTGCGTCACTTGCGAGTTTGACGATGATGATGACGACGGTGGTGGTGGTGGTGGAGACGGTGGAGGCGAGCTCCAGACTTGAACTGAACTTGTTCCTGCAACATGTCCTACAGGTCATGACCATAGCAGGTAATGCTATCGCAGCCGTGCGTTGGACGTCCGAACACAGAAAATAAGGCCGCTGCAGCTACAACAACGTATTTCATCGAGAACGGAAGTGGACCAAAACACTCCACGAACGCGGGCTCACAATGAGTTACCGAGTGGAGCCCCTTGTTCCACCTCCTTCCTTCTAAGCGAAGATTGAGAGCTCACGTGCCAGGGCCTTCCGCAACACGGCTCCCCGGGAGCTGGCAGCCCGCCTGACTCATCTACTTAAGCCAACATCTGCAATGCTTCGAGTCGGAGTCCTTCAAATAAACAAATTTGGAAGCTTCAACGCCTACACCATGGTCGACATTCCGCACCTGCCAGTTCCACAATTTGCACGACAGGGCCTCTTCGCTAGAACACCTGCGGCCAAAGCCGTGGCAGCTGCGAGTGCTGACGAGACGCCTCAGAGACTGAGATCTATGGGCAGCGGTCCTCCAACAGGGACTGCTAACATTGCTAACTTGCAGAACCAACCTGCAACCAACATGACCACTAAAGGTTGGCGAAACACCACTAACCAATCCACTCTGGCTTGTTAAACGCTATCCGAACCCTAGACCCTAGACCGCTAAGTCTTCTGCACCGGCAAATCTAGGGGTGCAGTGATATGTACGCACGTATGTATGTACGTACGTACATACGTGATCCTGCATACATACAGACATACATATATAGATACATGCATGCATACATACATGCGTCATACATACATATACACATCATATACTACACGCACATGTAGACAAAAATGCATATATACAAATGTACATTTGTACATATGTACATTTGTACATATATATATATATATACATACATACATGTATACATGCAAATATATGTATATATATATATGTATATATACAACCCCACATATACAAGATGCATATATAGACAAACGTACCTTTAGACATATATACTTATAATATACATATGTACACAGCACTCGCACTCGAAGCTCAGGCGAGATGTCTATACATACACGCATACACACACACACACAACACACACATACGCGCCCATGCTATGCCAGTTGCAATGATATTTCTACCGATATTTCTGCAAGTTAGAGATAGTAGTCACAGTTCGGCTGAGCAGGACTACACTATGAAAGTACTACTGCTAGCACAAGCAACGGTGGTAACAAGCAGAAGTTGACGAAGAATGATACAAGCAGGCAGAGCAATAACAACGAAGTGTAAGCATACTGCTGGCACCGTTTATCTGCATGGCTACTATTATTAGCACGGAAGTCATACCATTGATCCCGAAATCTCAGTGACATGCCCCGCTCTGGTGCGTCACGCGTCGCCCGCCGGCAGCTGGACATTGGCCTGGCCGGTCCAAGCTCTGGAGTTCAGCACTGGAGGATTGAGGGGTTTCTGCCTTCAGGTTTACGTTTGGGGTGGGTGCCGGATGCTGGGATGTAGGATCCTAACCCAGAAGAAGCGGAGCACTATGTCAAGAAGACACAGCTACCCCTGGCTCAGGCTCGCCTCGCCGGCAGTGCCGGCAGCGGGCCCCCAAAGGCAAAAGCCTTGTCATCACAAGGTTTCAGCACTCACTCTCGAACATCACCAGGTTTAGGGTTTAGGGTTTAGGGTTTAGGAGCCGAACGTAAAAGAAGCAACATCAACTGAAAACGAGCGGTTCGCAAAGCAGCGCAGGGACACTGGCCCTGCCTCAGCAAATAGTGCCATGGCCACGACGGGGGAGCAATCGCACTTAAGGCCTCTCTACTGCCTCTCTCATTTCGGGGCTAGCGTGGGGTAAGCATCAACTTGGCTCATGTGGGCATACCCTGCAGATTTGAGCATGAAACGAAGCTCAAAGAAGTCTGACTGTTTGGCTGACCACCCGGGAAAGCCGTTGATGTCTTGTTCATGTCTGCAACTTCGGCATGGTTATAGGAGCCACAGATGCGAAGCGAGCCACAGAATTGCTCTCCACCAACACGGTCAAATGTTTAAGCTTTCTCAAATCCACAGGCACAGTGCCCTCGCCAACTGGAAAGCAGCATGTTCCGTAATCGTCAAGAGTCAAAAAGCTTCTGATGCCAACAGATGATGCACGTCAGATGGGACTACCCGAAACTCGCATCGGTCAAGATCGCAAGACAACTGCCAACTTATGTTCACCTGGAAGCATGACACACCCGCTTTCACTTCGCAGGAAGGCCTTCCCTTCTCACACCGCCAGTCGGTACAGAAGAACGCGGAAGCCGAGACTCTCGCTCCCGACGACGTGCACCGTAGGAATCCCCCAGTGGACGTGTTAGCCCATCGCCCCACTGTCATGCACAGCAAGGTCTGCTGTACGTTGGCCCCAAAGGACTCCGGATGAAGCTTCTGGCAGAATGCAGCAAAAAAGAGGCTGCAAGTCTCCAGGACCTCCACCCCAAGCGGTGTGCCCCACACCCGGCCAGCGGTGTGCAAGCTGCGGCCTTCACGCCAGCAACAGCTCGTGGGTAGGGCGCATGAACACTTCGCTGCAGCACAAGTTCCAAAGCAACCACCTGCTGGCACATCAAGAGCAGGCAGAGACTTAGACAACGACCTGAGATGGGCTCATTGTGGAGACCTGGGTGCCGTACGGAAGTGCTGGTATCGACATCATAATCAAGCAGGCGATCTTCTAAGCGATGTCCCGTGGCTCAGGCGATCACTACAGGAAACATGCCAAAGCTCCGGTCACTAAACACAGGCCCGGCATCTTTGGCCGGATGCTCACCGAAGGGAGCCGGGAGCTTCCGTTTGGAAGCACCCGGCTCCTGCATCCTTGGGAGGCCTGGCATGGTGTTCACTGCCTTGTGCCTCGAGGCCCGAATTCGGCACATCCGTCAATGTAGAACATCGCTTGCTTACCAGACACTACCTGGCCTCAGCTGCTCGTGTGCATGGTGGTGTTGGCCCAGTTCCTTAGGCAGCACCGCGTCTTGGCTTTAGTATCTTTAGCGTGTTCTAAGTGAAAGGAGTCTCTGCCGTCCCTGCCGACGGTTGCCGACGGCAAGCACAACCTCCCGCTTCAGAGTGTCTTGAGTTTGACGAAAAACCCGAGCCCGAGCTTGCAAATTAAGCACGGCTCAAACCTTGAGCCCTTGCGCCAGGTTGCGGGGGAACCCGTGCCTGGAAGTCACCATGCCTTGAGCGCATCTGCGATACTGTCGCAAGACCAGCCAGGTCTGGGCTTCGGATAGATTAGAAGTCTAGATTCTAGATTCTACGCAACACCTTGAAGACGAAGATTCCTGAAGAGCATGAGACGAAACCCAGGCGCTGCCGCGGGGAGCCCGAAGGGATGATGCCTGGCATGGAGGGTCCATTCACGACAGAACCCGGCTCGCAAGTCCGGAGTTGATGTCCGGTTTGGGATGGCTTGCCCAGCTTGGGCTTCGGGAGTCCCAGCAGAATCCGGAAGCCCCAGCTAGAAAGGTAGTGCTCACCCCTCCAAATGGAAGCCCCAGTCGCCTGGAGGCAAGTGGGGCAGCGAAGCTTTGGGCCGAAGCGTCTGGCCTGGAGAAAGGCAGAGCCCTTGGAATTCTTGGGCACTGGTCTTGGCCTTGGCCTTCGGGCTTAACGTAGAAACACGGTTTAAAAGAGCCCGAACCATCTGACGGGTTCGCATCACTTAACGAACAAGTTGAACGCAAGCTTTCTGAGATGAAGCCCCGATTTCATGCCGGCATTCAGCCAGCTTGGGGAGCTTGTTCCAGAATGTCCCAAACCCAGCAGCCTGGCAAACGCAGAGGCGCGCCCATCCTGACTTCAATGAGAGCCAGGGATCTCTTCGTGAACAACGACCCACGTCCCTCCAGCCGTTACTTGCAGCAGAGCCGCATCGGACGCATGAGTGGCCTCTGGGGCTGCTGCGGAGGGTACTGCAGCGGCTGCTGCGCCAGAGTCGGGGGCGGATACTGCGGCACATTCTGCGAAGCATATGGCCGTGGACTTTGCGGTAGTGTTCCTTTCGACCCGGCCCCAGCAGGCGTCTGGGGCGGCGGGGCCTTTGGAGCCTCAGATTCAGCTTCAACCGGCTGTGCCGACGAATCCAGCTACCAAAGCGACAAGTGACGCGGCTGCTAGCCACCGCTACCCAGACCTAGCCGCAAGTCTTGGCACAAATCCATACAAGTAATGAAAGACAAGTTTTCCAGACAGGCGCTCAGCCGAAACGGCTACGCAACAATCAAAGCCTGAAGACTCGGTGGGCGCAAGTTGCCTGAGGCTTAATGTTGAAAGGAAAGGAATGATGAGCAGTGATGAGCAGTCGGCTGCCAAATCTTGAACACCTCAACTCCTCACGGTGAAGCGCCCAAAGCCGCGTCCACGATCGAAGGCTCGATCTCGATCTCAACATGATCAACTCCAGAACCCTCCGTTCGGGGCACATAGGGGCCTCAGAGTTTCCTGTTCAGACTGGGCCGAGCTTGTGAAAGTTCCAAAGAAACCGAGCAGCACCAGCTGACGATGCGGCTCCTTCGTTGGAGATGTGGTTTTAGGGGGGCCTTGCTGCTTTTCACCTGGGCAAGCCTTCTTCGTACATCCGGGTAGAAGCCTAGCAGAGACTCACGTGCACCGACACCCGCATTCGCCGTTGAATGCTAGATGATGAGGCAGAAAGTAAGAACTGCAACAGAACATGGCGACAAGACACATCGCCATAAAATTAGAAATACCATCTTCCTCTGTTATTGCTGCGATCCTCACATCCTCCTCCTCATCTGTGTCTCCAACTTTATTGTCATCTTCACCATCATCCTCACCCGCTTTCGCCCTCTTCCCCCATCCCAGGCCCCCGTCAAATAGGCCCTGATGGACCCCTATCAAATCCTTTCTAGGGAATTTCTGGCCCCATCCCCTCGGTCAGGCTTCTCATCTAATTCTACAGGGCTGCATCAGCCACTGCCGCCCGCCTTGCAACATCATGCAAGTTTAGGGTTTAGGGTTTAGGGTTTAGGGTTTAGGGTTTAGGGTTTAGGGTTTAGGGTTTAGGGAACCCCAAACAAGGCCTACTGCCCCGGGCAGTAGAACCCACTGCACCTTGGCCGGTGGAAGCGGGGCTCGCCTTCATGGCCGAAAGCTCCACCTGAGTGTCAGGGCCAGGGTCTCGCATCAAAGCCGACCCACAGGGAGGGGTTTCCGAACATTAGGGGACCCTAATAGAGTACCCTCAAATAGTAGGGCCCTTGAATTAAGGACCCAAAATAAGGGTACCCTACTATTCGGAAACTCCCACATCAAAGCAGCCAAGGCAGACACTTCCTTGCCCTTCCGCCGCTCCAATTGCACGTCCTTGGCTTGATACATGGGCTGCTCAACCGTGCTGAGAACCTTTTCCCGACCTCGCACCCCGCCGATATCAACGGCATCGACACTGAACCAAAAGCCTGGAGCTCACCATCGCCACATCAAGCCTGCAGAAATCAAACATCCGCAGCAGAGCAGCCATGCAGGTGTCGAAGATGTCCAGCCCAAGTGGCCTCTCAGGCCTCCTCTCGGGTGCTGCTTCTACTTGCTCAGCGGCTTGGCACCGAAAGTCTTTTGGCAGGACGGCCTCCGGGCTGTTGCGCGTATCAGCCTGCACTCCACCTGCCTCGCTTAGGACTTAGGACTCGGAAATTCTGTCCAACAGGTTGCTCCTGAGCGGACCGGCAAGCAGCGCTGCTGCCATCGCACCCTGCGTTGAAAACTGGAACTGGGTCTCGGGACACTTCGGCCCTTACGATCTTGGTGCTTGCTGATGCTGATGATGCTGATGCTGATGGAAACAAGACTCAAAGGAGTTGGAAAGCGTCAAACCATCACAACGGTGACGATGATGATGGTCGTGATGATGACAATTGTGATGATGACGATCAGCTATGCGCACCAACACAGCGAGCTTGGGTATGGACAAGGCACTTGACAGTGGTTCTCACCCCGAAGACCGTAAGTTTGACATGCGGCCTCCAGAAGCGACACTGCAAACAGGAGGACGACCGCCCAAGCCACGGACACCTCTCTGTGAGCTACCAGCTGCTGCCGACGGCTCGGCCCGCGCCCGAAATCATCGCCGACCCCTCTGAACCGGGAGAATGGATACATTTTCCAGTTGAAGGAACCCGACCCTCAGATAGTCTGAAGATGTCTGAAGCCAAGTTTCCTCGGAAGACTCCGAGCTCATCAGTCCAACCAGCGTTGTCTGCTTGGGGATACCCCCATAGAGCTCAAAGGTGGCAAGGCCTGGAACCCAAATCTCACTCGAGCAAGTCGACTGCATCAAAGCTTCCGAAGACCGAACAACAAGCCGAGATTGATTTAAACAAGGTTCAAGAACATACCAGACTGCGAATGCATTTTTAGTCTCGAGTGGCCATGCACCTCAGCCTCGCGAATGGAAAGGGAGGTTCCGATTACACAGAAGCTTTAGAACTTCATGGCGCGAGGTCGTTGGGATGCATGCCTTCAGGGGCAAAGACACACCACTCGACATAGAGGTATTCCCACATCTCTCCTTCTGCACCAGAGTGGGTGTATGTCTCTCCGGTTTGGGGTTAACCACCTCGTCACAACTTTACCATCCAAGAGGTGTGCAACTCCTGTTGCCGACACAGAAGCGCACTTCCACTTGCGAATCAGAGACACTGACACGAAGCACTTCCTCGAGAGTCCTCTCGCAGCGCACGGTCGAAGCAGAGGACTCGACGGTCCGACGTCCACGGGAAGATTTCAGCGGTCTGTCTTGGGAGAGGTCACGAAGAGAGCTCCTTCTGAAGAGGACAGCTGGAGGTTCGATCTTGAGCAGAGACGCCAATACGCCGATCGGTGGAATGGAACGTCGCTAAGGAAACGCCCACTGAGAGTTTGGAATGCTTGATGTCCAGCAGCGTAGCAGCAGAGGCATGCCACACATGCCTTTGATCGGGAGAGCTCCTCCCCATCCTTCACTACCAGAACGAGCTAAGGAAGCCTGTTTTGCTGAGAGGCTGCTTCCGACTGCCCCTGAGGCATAGGCTCCGGGGCACTGCCCTTTAGGTCTGTGACAGGGGTTGCGACTTACAAGCCAACCAACATGGCTTCAGCCACAGCTGTTTGCTTTTCTTGCAAGCCTTTGGGGGGTTTCCTCTCCTCCAGGGCAAGCAGACGATGGGTGCAGACGCGATGGTTTCGGTGCTTTAGCCGGGTTTCGTTGTTGGAGTGTGAACTTCCCCCACCTTCCATGTTCAGCTGCCGAGGGGCACCACCGGTATTGAACCGCAGCCAGAGCCAGCAGCAAGGGTGCCACGCCGGCACAGATCTTGACATACGGCCGAAACTTTCCGGTCTTCTCCTGGATATAGCTTTTGCTCTATGATTCTGATTCGTAGCAACCAAACACTATGAATTCTTGTAGGCCATGTTGGGGGTGTCTTGTCGACAGGCTTTGCTTCTTTGAAAGGATGGTCGCCTATGCATAACCTACTACCTATCCACCTACACTGTAGCCCGCCCGTACCGCCACTTGGAGAGCCTGGGTGCTTTTGACAATGTCAGTTGCTGCCCTCGCTGAGCTCCTCAGAGACTGCCCACCGCGGCTTCTTCGTTCTTGCGCAGGTCTGGTGGTCCTTCATCAGGAACGCCGCCCTGGCAAGACTTGCTTCCGAGGTTTTGTTTCAGAGCCAAGAAAAAGTCTTACAAAAGATTGTCGTCGTGGTACATGTCCATCTGAACTTCCCCTTCCCATACGACGATCACATTCCCTGACTCCTGAGTGTTTCGCACCCGCCAAACTGTTCTCCAACTCCGCAAGCAATCCGAGCACAAATCATGAATCATCGAAGGCCGCAGCCCGTCATGGAAAAGGTCATGGAAAAGCTCAAACGCTGACCCCAGTTGGCTTCAAACTGGCGCCCCCACGTGATCAGCGTCGCAAGAAGGCTCAGCAGGGCCATGCAAAATGCCGCGCGGGAAGTGTAGCGCATGATGCCTCGGATCTCCAGTGGAGCCTGCAGCCCTTGTTGCGACGTGCTCTTGGGGTCTACACCTGGCCAGCCCTTCAACCCTGAACACTCATGTTCCAGGCCACACAGGCTTAGGCAACCTTGACACAACGCACCTGCAGCATCTACAGCTCAGTGCTTCAAACCCGTCAAGCAAGACCGCCTGCTCTCACTTGGACCCCCTCTCGAGAAGATGGAAGATGATGCCAAGCAGCCCCATATCTTCCCGTCCTCAGAAGCAAACCGATCAGTTTAAGGCTTCGCTGGCACTTCGGTCCGGGTATGCTTTGGGCCGCTGCGTCAAGAGGACAAGCATTGCCGCATAACATTATAAGCGAGTGGCCCAGCAACGTACCAAAGCGGAATAAAACGGCCCGCCATCGCAACCAACACAACAACAGCAGCAGAAGCAGCTCCCACAAACTCAGCATCTTAGACCTCTGGCGCCCATGCCGCTCGAGCAGGCTTCTGAGTTTGGTGTTCGTTGAGGATGCAGAGAACCTGACTTTGTTGCAACAACCCTGCAGCAAAGCCACGATGTACTTTCCCGAGTACGGGCTGTGCTCGCAGAAGGCCCCAAACAACTTGTACCTGGCTTTTTCTTCAACAGGTCAGCTTTCGTTGCATCGTTCACCTCCTGGTCATGCTTATAGCGGTCCCAGCGATCGTTGCCCTCCCTCCCTATAGCTCTCCATACCCATCTCTACCGGCTAACTCATGACACCGGAGATCGACACCAGCTCGGCACTGGACACTGTGGAGGCCCTTGTTCTCACAAAAATTCCTCGGCGCAAAAGGTTAAAAACCATTCCGGCATTGTTCCGGTGCCTAGCATGACTGAGAAGGGAACATGCGATTGTGGTAGAATGTGCTTGCGCCCACATGGCCACGGCGCAAGTGTATATATATATATATATACTTATTTATTTATTTGTTTATTTATTTATTTATATATGTCCAGATCATCCCCACAATCACCTGTGAGATGAACTGGGCAGCGTCCGAGGAGCAAGTTCCACAACGTCGGGAAAAACTCGACTTTGCCATTGCAGAAATCGGTGGCCCATTGCTCCATCTCGGGCGAGGCATACCTGACGAGGATCCAGATTGCTGTTTCGGCTGCTGTGGCTGCGCGGGTCCATCCAAGAGGCTGCTTCTGCAACACCTTGTCGAGTGCCCTCTCCATGAGAGAACTAGGCCGAGCATATCCTCAGCCGAAGACCAGGGAGTTGGGCCATAGACATGTCAGGGCAGAACAAGGGAGTGTGGCATCAACCCTTCTGCAATGCCCCCAAAGATCCCCAAAGCTTGCCTATTGTAAACCAAACCTGCCAGGGATCGCAACGAGCAGACGACGAGGCTGCACCTGCAACTCGCATCCCAGCTTAGCAAGGCCAAGCCTTCTCCCGCTCCAGGAAGCTCACATGCACGATGGCACGATAGGAGTGTCAGACTGCAACTAATAGGTACTGCCAGCCTCCACTCGAGCTGGCCACCAAGCCAGACGTTGTATTTGCGAAACCTCGGATCTTTCCTCCCATTCCGCTGACCCAGCTACTGAATATTGGATATTCCTTCGTGGCCCTAGAGCTCTCCGGATGAGAGCGCCGAGGCTCTGCATGCTGAAGAAGAACATGCCGAAGAGTGTGCCAATCGCCTGGCGAAAGCTTGACAGGTATGCGGCACTGTTACGACTCAAATCCTTGCGGGTGGATGCCAGCAGCTGACCGTCACAGCTCAAGTTTTGTGCTGCTCTCGCATCTTTGAAGGAGACTTTACACTCCCTGCGTCCTGCGGGAACTGTACATTGAACCGGCAGCTGGTCTGCAAAAGGCGAAAGCGCTTCTGTACAGTGTGGCTTGAGCGCATCTTGAGAGCTGGTCCTGGCTTTACATGATGAAACTGTACCCCACTTCAGTGACAGAACCCTCCACGGTCGTGCACTGCACCACTTCGTCTTCCTTGCACTGAAAAGCCTCCGGCACACGGAAGGCTTTGAAGTGACCCCAGGAGCCCGCTTGGTAGAGCTGATCTGTGGAGGTGGGTTGGTGACCACATGGCCAGCCGTATGCATAGTGTAGCAACCGGGCGGAGGGCTGCATGATCTCCGCACTGACCGTGCCCCAACAAGGATTGCAGCTGTCATACTTCTCGGCACCGCAGCTTCCATGGTTGCAGATGCTATGACCCCACCAAGGGATCACAGGGTTTGTGCTGCAGTCCTCCTCAATGTTAGAGTGATCGCACAGGATCGCGGCCATGACGTCCACATCAATGCTTCCTCGATACTTGGAGGCCAGCTGCCACCCGCGGCGCCAACGCAGGCCGTTGTTGTTGCCCTTGTAGCTCAACTGGGCCTCGGGCAAATTGAACTCCACCAATTCCGGACACTGGTGGCAGTTCACCGCAACAACGATTCCAGGGTTGTCGCGCGAATAGCGCTGAAGCACGGCGACACCAAACGGGCCCACCTCCACTTGTGCTAGGTTCTGTTGAGCATCCGCCAAAAGCACAGAGAAAGAGGGCGTCACTGCTCCTGCTGCCAGTAGCAGAACAAGTGCTTGTTCCACGTCCTGGCAGGAGTTCATCATCTGCCGACTGAGGTCTGCAAACGTCTGGGGCACCGTGAGTTTGTCCGTGCTGTCGACGTCACGCTCTACTGCCAGAGCAGCGGTGAAAGACAAGCCGGCAGAGTTGACACCCCTCGTCGGCTGTCCTGGCTCGACCTCGAAAGGCGGAGGACGATCGCCCGCGGCCTCGTTCGAGTCCACGTAACGGAGCTCCGTGCCGATGTGGCCCATGCCGCCCCAGGCCCGAACTGCTCGAACAAAGGTTCTGAAGAGGTAGGGATCATCACTGACGCCACCAATGAGGGCTTCCCCCGTCACCGTTACACCAACGCCCGTTGCGCCAAAGAGGAAGCACATGGCCAAGCAGAAATAGCAACGATGAGCGCACTACCAAAAGAAAAGCTTGGACTGTAAAGGCAGCCACGGCTCCACACGAGAACACAACGAGCCTAAGACATAACCGAACCCAGTACATACACCAATTGCGAAAAGGCCTGAACAACGAAACACCGTCAAAAGCTGCTGCCGACCCTGGCCCCCTCTCCCTTCCGGCCGCCACGAAAAGGCCAAACAGCGCGAGGCAAATCTGCAGGCAGCGATGGGTCGGATTTCAACTACAAAACAGCTTGGGAGCTGCGATCTGCAGTTCCGGGTTCCACACATGTGCACACAAATCTACGGATCGTCCATTCCGGCAGCAACCCAAGCTAGACGTCGGCACAGCTCTATCCCCTAATGTTCTGGACGCGAAATGCCAAATGATGTCGGCGTTGCTCGTGATGCTTCCTAATCAAGCTCTATGGCCGAGCATGAGCATGCCTGAGGCGAGCAGCCGTCTCGGTTACTCTGGCGATATGGTGCGGCCTCAACCAGACAAGAACAGTGTGACACTCTGACTGCCCATAACCCAGACAGTCTCTGACGATGGACTCCGGACGTCTTGGCTCGTTTCAGGAGCTTGCGCTTTGGCTTCGGCCTGCAGGTTCAGGAGAAAAAGAAACCCTCAAGACCGTCGACCATTTGCACCCGGGACTGCAACTCTGGTCCAATGCAGTGAAAGTTTTGCTTGGCAACCGATCATGTGTAGGTCGGATCTCCAACCTCAAATTGTCAACCACCTGGTGTGTGCTTGACCGAGACGCCAATGAGCGGATCGTCTGCCGCCGGATGTGCGTGACTTCTTCGCCAGGCATCGCACACAGGCTCAAGGTGGCAGCTGTTCAGTTCTACGTTCGCAACCACTATGCAAGGCTGTTAACAACTCGAGTGGTCAAGGACAACAGACTCCTGCGTATCTGCGAAGATCTGGGAAGCCTTGTATATATGCCCAATGCCCATATTTCCTGAGTGACAGCTGTGGACCTTCGAAGTCGTTCACGTTCACTTGTCAGAACAGACAGAGAAGGTCTTCCTTCATCAGCAAGATGGGGGTTTCCAAATAGGGGACCCTACTATAGTACCCTAAATAATAGGGTCCTTATTATAAGGACCCCAAAATAAGGTACAGTACCCTAACTGTCGGAAACTCCCAGATCTGAAATCACAAGCGCCAGCAGCTTTTGCCATTTGCAATAACTGGGTTTGCCGACTTGTGAAGCTGCAGCAATTGGCTGCATGGTTCGGCAGGGGGTAAGAACACAGACGGAGATTCCGCACCCGGGGCTAGTGGACGTCGGCTTTAAGCAGCCATTCATTCGCCTCTGGTATCAACTCAAAGAAAAACATATGGGTAGTTACCAAAATTATGGTCCCTTTTGGGGTACCCTAAATAATACCATTAAATTTGACAACCACCCATATGGCAGGAGTTTCCTAGGCCATAGGCTAGCACTCGCGATCTGATCCCTGACTGCCCTTACGCCTTCTATTCTATTCCGAACTACAGTTCGTGCTTCTCGTCCGATGACGGCATGCCATCGGCAGGTACCCACCTGAGCATGCTCCAAAGCTCAGATTTGCGCGACCGAACGAGAAAACTCCATCTCCGTCAAAGCCTAAACCCTAAACCCTAGAAGAAGAAGAAGAAGCCTAACGACAACAACCAAAGTACTGATAGTTTTCAGGGCAAGAAGAAAAGGAAAAGTATTAACAGCAATACTAATGGTAACGGTAACGACAATGACCCTAATAATCGTCATGACGCTCCATCTCACAAGCTTCTAATATTGGCTGGTGAGCGGAAACAACACCACAACCTCGTGGGAATGGTGATGAGTTATGCGTAATCCCAAAAAAGTTGATTCCGGGCCACATGATCTTTCCCAGCTGGAGCTCGGGGAAGTCGTAGCCCACGGAGATCAGATCCCGGATCCATGCCTGCGCCAGCCTGGCATCCCACACATGGCAAGAACGAACCCACAAAGCAGGGTGTTTAAGACAACTCCAAGGATGCGGGCAACGAGTAGTTGCACAAGTCGCCATCGTATGTGCAGCATCGCACGACGGAACCTTAACATATTATTATGAGAACTCAGTGGCTGCAAAGCCAAGTGCTCAATGCAGGCTCAATTCCCTTCACTTTGGATGTTGTTGCTGTCATTCTGGCATCTCACTTCAGATCTCAACGCACATCACACCTTTTGAATCCGAAACGCAATGGCAATGCT